TCAGGCTGGTTTTGAACTCCTGAGCTCAAACAATCCGCCCGCCTCGGCCTCCCAGAGTGCTAGGATTACAGGCGTGAGCCACCGCGCCCGGCCCCTGGCTTTCCATTTAAGTGAGAAGTGCCGAGGAGAGGAAATTACAATAGTGCAGGTGAGATAGGATGGTGGCTTGGACCACGGCGGAAGTTTCTTGCCTAAGCAATGAGGAAGATGAGGAGCCACTTGCTGAGATGGAGAAGACTGCGGGAGGAGCAGGATCAGGGAGGGTGGGAGCTCTGTTTTGGCCATGTGAGATGCCCCTGAGACATCCTAGAAGTGTCAGGTGGAGAGCTAGATAGAGGGACCAATATCCCAGGGAGCAGATGGGTGGGAGGCATAAACTTGGAAGTCGTCAAGTATAAAAATGACATTTGAAGCCATGATCTTCGATGAAATCATCTAGGGAGTGAGTGTGGCCAGAGAAGAGAGCCCAGGCATTTTAGGATGAAGTCAGAGAGATGAGGAGGGGCCATGAGGTGAAGGAGTACCAGGTGATGGGTGTGTCCCAAAGTGAAGGCAGGTCACATGTTGGTGTTGGGAAGGAGGGTGAGCCACTCTGTCAGGTGCTGAGGGTAGAGCAGAAGATGAGGACTGAGGGCTGCCCAAACATTGGAGAGCAGCAGGGAGGTCTCTGGGGACAGACCTTGGTAAGAGCAGTTTTGGGGAGCAGTGGGAGAAAAGCCTGATATGAAGGGTTCTAGAAAGAGTAAGAAGATGGGCCGGGTGTGGTGGCTCATACCTGTAATCCTAGTACTCTGGGAGGCCAAGGCAGGAGGATCACTTGAGGTCAGGAGTTCAAGAGCAGCCCACGCAAGACCTTGTCTCTACTAAAAATAGAAAAATTAGCTGGGCCTGGTGGCGCATGCCTGTAGTCCCAGCCACTCAGGAGGCTGAGGGAGGAGGATCACTTGAGCCCAGGACTTTGAGGTTGCAGTGAGCTGTGATGATGCCATTGCACTCTAGCCTGGGCGACAGAGCAAGAGTCTGTCTTAGGCCGGGTGCGGTGGCTCACGCCTGTAATCCTAGCACTCTGGGAGGCCGAGGCGGG